TTAATAATAAAAAAAAATTTAAAAAAAAAACAAAACTAATATCAGGAAAAAAATTTTAAAAAAACTATTCTAGAAGCCAGGGGGATGAACAGAAAGCTTGGAGTCTCCTAGTTATTAATTTCTCAGTGGCTAATAATGTCTGAAAGTGTCGGTGTTAATTGTCTTGGTATCATTACATAGATACTGGTCCTGTCATTTAAAGGAATAAAATTTGACTTACAACCTCGCAAAAAAAAAGTTCTCTTTTTTCATAAAAGCTAATTCACAGTATACTATTACCTGTTTTTATTAATTCTTTAATCAGATCTTCTTTCATCTTGATATTAATTGTAAGTTCTCTCATTTTTTGTTTTGCTTCGTTAAGTAAGAGTTCAGACTTCCTTAGTTTTTGTAAATTTAACTCTTGACTTTCCTTGAGAGATTCAATCTTCACATCTTTAAGATAAAATAAATAAAACTGCTCACATAATCTTCAACAGAAACCATTGCCATTAAGCTGATTTCAAATCATAGTGACCCTAAAGGACAGAATAGGTTTCCTAGTCTATGAAGCAGATTGCCTTGTCTTTCTCCTACTACTCAACAGACCAAACTCACTGCCAATGACACAATTTCAATTCATAGTGACCCTACATCAGATTTCTGAGACTAAATATTTATGGGAGGAGACTGCCCATCTTTCTCCTATGGGAGCAACTGGTGGGTTCAAAGAGCTACCTTTCATTTAGCTGCCTGACGCATTATGTACACACTATGCCATCTGGACTACTTTTTTCCAACACAGTGAGTTTTCAGGCACATTACTTTTTCTCTTTTGCAGCTAGTGGAATGTTCCAGTTAAGTATGAATGCTCTGTTATCAGTCGTCCTCAAGTCAGCTCTGACTCATGGCAACCTCCTTTGTTTCAGAGCACAGCTAGGCTTCCTAAGGCTGTGACCTGGCTTTGAAGGTGCCTCCAGGTGGATTCAAACTGCTAAATATTTTGGCTAATATTTGAGCCCTTAACTATTTATGTCATCTACAGATTGTTTTTACTGCCTTCAGATATTCTATAATGTGTATTTTGCTTTAACCTCTTTACAAAAGGTGTAAAATTTCTGAGTAAGTAAAGGATGACTTTATTATTACTAATTTCTGGTTTTACTGTAATTAGAGAATGCATTTCACACCATGCTATTCAGTGTGTGGTACAATGTGTTACTATCCTGCATAAAAATATAAATCTTCTTCATCTCTAAGCACATGGCTTTAATTTAGCAGAGATTGGGGTTCGGGTGTTTTTGGTTTTTCATAGTAAGATCTTTCCCACTAATGTACAGAAAGGAGTACACAAATTTACATTCTGGCCTCAATTTCAATTACCTTACCACTGCACTGATCTCATATTTCTATATTTTGAAATTTTGTTTATTTGTGACATAGTATGTAGTCATTTTTTATATTACATGTATAAGGTCTTTAAAATGTTCTCTGTACTTTTATAGGATAGGACTTACATTTTTATAGGATAGGACCAACTTACCATGATATTTTGATTTCTTTTATCTTTACTTTTTGTGTGTGTGCTTTGACCTCTCATTGGCTAAGACTAATAGTGAGTTAAAACCTCCTACTAGCATATAGTTTTGCCACATTAATATTTTTAGAGCAAACAACATTTATTTAGACACATAGAGTTTCCTGTACACTTTGTTCTTTTTTGCTTGTCTATTTCACTAAAGATTGAGTTGTTGTTGTTGTTGTTGTTGTTGTGTACCAATGAGTTGGAACGGACCCTAACTGACCTCCCCAGTGGGAGGGGACTGCCCATCTTCCTCCTGTGGAGCAGATGGGTTAGAACTGCATGCCTTTGGGATATCAGCGCAGCTTCTTACCACTAGGCCACCAGAGCTCCCTAAAGGTTGAGTATTGTTTGCAAAAATACAAAATACAAAAATTCTCATCAATTGTGTATCAGGACAGTCCAAACCCCCAGAACACTCTAATGCCAAATATATGTGAGACTGTAAGATAAACAGTAAAAAGCATTCATAAAATTACAAGTAAGTGAGTGAATGTTAGGCATGTCAGTGAAGCAGTAGGCACTCCAACAAATTACTTCTTCTGAGTTTAAAGTAATAAAAAAATACAACGCATTCCAACTCAGATGTGAATTTTAAATCCTTATTCTGGGATAGTTAGCCTATAACCAGAATTGATTAGTCTTAAATGGAAAAATAAACTCCTTTTAAGGAGTAAATAACATTTTAAAAATGTAAAAATCAGAAGCTGAACTAACAGCATAAAGTAAATTCTACCAAGGAAAGCCTTCCTACCAACTGCTAGTCTTTAAAAAAATCCCAGGAATTTCAAAATTATTGACAAAGGGAAGTATCTTACTAGATTTAAACTACTCAAGACTGTGTACCTTTGTTTTCCAAAGATGACATATGTGTTTGATCCTGAATATCATCCAATTCAACAAGAGAACTAACAGGTCTAGGCTCTTGAGTCCATGGGTGACTTCTTCTATAATGTCTTAAAAAAAAAAAACAACAACACACACACACACATACAACAAAATTATAAGTAATTGTTCTGCTAACTTTTCTAATCTGCCCTAAATTTAGAGTCTCCCTAAAGGTGACAGTAGTGATTAAAAAACTATTATATAAGCTGAATTTCACTAATAGCCCTCAAAATAGAAGGATGTTACACCCCTGTTGGATTCAGTGGAAAATGTAATTAATTGTTTTTGCCACATCTGCAGCAGAATCAAGAAATGCAAAAACATTCCTTCTGAAAATTAAAATCCAACAAATCAAAAGGTCTAAATGCAAAATTACGTTTCAATTGTAAGACTAAGGACTTAGATTCAAACACTAGTTTCATAATACATTCTTTGACAGTATACTTAACAAAAATACTGTGTTTATCTCCTAATAAAAACCATAAAAACAATAAAATATAAGTATTTAATTGCCTTATGTAATTATAATAATATAAATTAAATGTTTAGCAAACCTATTAAATGTTTAGCATACCTAATGCCAGGTTTCTCCTGACTCTCTGATTCTTCATCGTCACTATTATCAGAAAATCGGCAATGGAGCACTTCATCCTGTTCCTCCAAGTGACCCAGCAGCATCTGACTTCTTGTTCGAAATCCAGCAACTATTCGATCCAGAGAGTACATAGGAGGACTTGTATAGACCTTGCAAGTAATTCCCCCACCCAACAACAAAAAAAAATGATTTTTAAAACTTCTGTTTCTCTTATTTCTCAAGATGCTTTTAAAGAAACTATTAAGCAGGTATTCTTAAACTAGCTTTTCACTAAAAATATGACCACATAAAGAAACAAAATTTATTTCAAAATACCACTGTAACTCATGGACACCATTTTACTCAGAGTCTACACATCTATAAAGCTTCTCTATACATCTCTTCTAGAAAGCTTTTCCTGGCTTCAATTATAGCTTCGTGGAAGATAATTACTTAAAAATTAAAGCAGAGAGGCATGAGTGAAGACATCTAGTTCTATTGTGCCTACAGACATGAAACCCACACACAGACCAGCGCCTGAAGTGTAACGGGCCCAGTGTCCTCACCCAGGGCCATTTTACTCCTCCTTTCTCGCCAGTCCTGAAACCTGGGGAGTCACCAAATTGCTGCCAAAGCTCTGTGTCCCCTCCCATCCAGATCTCACCACAGAAGAAATGTAGAGCCACCCCTGTCCCTCTACAAGGATATGGACTTAAGTCAGTTACTGAAAGTCACGTTCTTGTTGTTATGTGCTGTCGAGTTGCTTGCAACTCATAGTGACCCTATGTATAAGAGCCCTAAAGCCTACTCTATTCTGTGCCAATGTATTGTCTTTGACGCACATACTACCATTACCCCAGTCACTGAATTGATCCACCTCATCAAGGGTCTTCTTCTCCTGCGCTGTCCCTCTACCCTCCCAAACATGATGTCCCTCTCCAAGGACTGGTCCCTTCTTGCAACATGCCCAAAGTATGTAAGACAAAGCTTCATAATCCTTGCTTCCAAGGTGCAGCCCGGTTTCACCCTCTCCAGCATGAACCTGTTTGTTCTCCTAGCAGTCAACACTCTTCTCCAGCACCACAGCTCAAAGGCATCAATTCTTTTTCTATCATTCCTACTCATTGTCCAGCTCTCTGATGCATAGCACACAACTGTGAAAATCACAGTAGAGAGTATTTAATGACTGTAAAATGTTCACGATATGTAGAAGTTTTTGAGAAATACTAGGATTAATGTTTATGTGTGAATAAATAATACCTTAAAGGTAACTACAAGAATTTAAAGGAAGATGGTAGGCTACACAGACAGCAGCCCAGATTCTCTAATCTAAAGACACCAGAAAACAAAGACAATAGATAGGGAGGATAATTCTGGAACTCTGAGTGTCAAAGGAAATGACAAGTAGCTAAAACACTGACTGACTGAAGAAACTAATGAAGACAGCAAATAAGGAGACAGCAGAAAATTCTGAATGGGCCTATAAGAGCGTAGCCCTTTTTTTTTTTTTTTTGGTAAGCAGCTCTCTGATTAGCACAGGAACATGGCTGCAATGGTGCCTGCAGCAGTGGCTGGCATAGCACAAAGTGCTGTCCCCCCTTGTTCCCCATACTTTCCCAAGGACTGGAGAGTGACTGTCCCCATCCCCACCAAAAGGCTGGCAGTGCTCCCCGTGTCTATCCTAGTTCTACCAGAGATGCGGTTTACACCATCATGTATCTGGCACAACAGTGTGCAGCCCCACAGTCAAGCTACCTCTTGGTGCTGGCAGAGTATGCTGGGCCTGGAGAGAGGCCTTGCTTGCAGCCAGCCAAGAGATTAACAGAGACACCACCTCTGACTAGATCTTATCTCTGATGCTCTGGCTTGGTGTCCCTGGAGATTCAGCACCTAGTGCATACAACACTCACATCTAGAAATATCACTCTCCGCCCCTTCAGGCCGGCAGAGCATCCCGTTCTTGCTGATCTCTGGACTGGCAGTGACTGTCCCTGGCAGGATGCCCCTGTAGGTTTCGTGTCAGATGCATATCACTCCCTGGCCCACATGTGCTGCTTCTACTAGGGCTGGGATAGTGCACTGTCTGAATTGCCACCCAAGCACACGCCTACCAGAGTGTCCTTGTGGATTTGGACTCTCCCACAACTAAAGATACTTAAGTTCTCTACCTCCACATGCTGGCAGAGTGATCCATACTGAAATGCACCCATTCCCTGGACTGGCACAGACATCATGGTAAGCAAGGTTGACTGCCGAAGCACCTCAATGCTTATAGAAACTCTGTTCCAGGCTGGATGCAAAAGAGGCCTATGGAAACAGAGTGTTATGTAACACTGAAGGATGACAGAGAATTCGTGAACTACTCTACAACATGGATTAATGTTGTTGTCGCTGTTATGTGCCGTCAGGTCACTTGCGACTCATAGTGACCCTATGTACAAAAGCCCTAAAATCTGCTCTGTCCTGTGCCAATTTCACTGTCTCCGACACACCCATCCTGATTACCCTAGTCACTTACCCTCCTGTGCTGTCCCTCCACCCTACCAAGCATGATGTCCCTCTCCAAGGACCGGTCTCTCCTTACAACATGACCAGGGTATGTCAGACGAAGCCTCAAAATCCTTGCCTCCAAGGAGCAGCCCAGTTTAACCCTCTCCAGGGTGAATCTGTTTGTTTTCTTAGCATCCCATGGTACCCTCAATACTCTTCTCCAAGGCATCAATTCTCCTTCTATCCTCCCTAGTCATTGTCCAACTCTCTGATGCATAACAAGTGATTGTAAAGACCATGGCCTGTATCAGACAGCCCTTAGTCTCCAGAGAGACACCACTGCTCTTCAGTACTTTGGAGAGGTCCGTAACAGGAGACTTTCCCATTGCAATACATCTTATAATTTCCTGGCTGATGGTGCCAAGGGTGGTGACTGTGGAGCCAAGCAAACTAAAGCTGTGAACAGTCTCAATCTCTTCACCATCCATTCTGATGCTGCCAATTGGTCCAGTGGTGAGAATCTTTGTCTTCTTGACATTGAGCCTCAATCAATATTGGAGGCTGCAATCCCTGACCCTGTGCAGCAAGCACTTCAGGTCCTCCTCCGTTTCAGCAGGCAGGGTTGTGTCATCTGCATAACACAGATTGTTGATAGATCTTCCACCAACCCTGATGCCGCATTTCTCCTCATAGCGCACAGCCTCCCAGATAATCTGTTCTGCATACAGGTTGAAAAGGCATGGAGACAGGACACATCTCTGTTGAATGCCCTTCCCAATTTTGAACCATGCAGTGTTTTCTTGCTCTGTTCTTACTGCCTCTTGGTCCAAGTATAGGTTTCGCATTAGCACGATCAAGTGTTCTGGTATTCCCATTCTTCTCAGAGTCAGCCACAGTTTGTTATGATCCACACAGTCAAATGCCTTTGCATAATCAATGAAACACAGATAGACATTCCTCTGGTACTCCCTGCTTTCAGCTAAGATCCATCTAACATCAGCTACAATATCCCTAGTACCACGACCCCTTCTAAACTTAGCCTGGACTTCTGGCAGTTCTCTGTTGATGTGCTGTTCCAGTCATTTTTGGATAATCTTCAGTAGAATTTTGCTTGCATGTGAAATCAATGATATTGTTCTATAGTTTCCAACACTGTTGGGTCATCCTTCTTTGGAATGGGAACAAATATAGATCTCTTCCAGTCAGTTGGCCAAGTGGTTGTTTTCCAGATTTCTTGGTACAACTTGGTGAGCACGTCCAGGGCAGCATCTGTTTGCTGAAATATGTCAATTGGTATACCATTTATTCCTGGGGCCTTATTTTTTACCATTTCCTTCAAAGCACCCTGAACTTCTTCCTTCATCACCATAGGCTCTTGCTTATATGTTGTTCCATTAAATTCTTCTGTGTCTGCCAATTCCTTTGATACAGTGACTCAGTATATTCTTTCCATCTTCTTTTAAATAATGCTTGGTGACTTAAATCACTCACAAAAGGGCAACAATGGTATATGGCTACTATTATAAAGAGTAAATGAAAGGTTGGTAACCATCTAGGATGGTTACTTAGGGATGGGAAGGGAGAGAAGGAGGTGTGAAAATTAATAAGTAAGTGAAGAGAAGAGAAAGGCAATATACAATAAGGGTTGAGCAGACATTTAATTTATTAATGGCATTGTTGTTACGTGTGGTGGAGTTGCCTACATACAAGAGCTCTGAAGCCTGCCCTTTTCTGAGGCAGTCTGACTACAACATATCTACCCCATTGTCCCAGTTACTGTATCAATCCGTCTCATCCTCTCCTGCGCTGTCCCTCCACTCTTCCAAGCATGATGTCCTTCTCCAAGGACTGGTCTCTCCTGGCCATGTGCCCAAAGTGTGTGACGGAGCTTCAACATCCTAATCTCCAAGGAGAAACCTTGTTTTCACTCTCTCAAGACAGACTTATTTGTTTTCTTGGCCGTCCATGGTATGTGCAAGACTCTTCTCCAGCACCACTATACAAAGGCATCAATTCTTCTTCTGTCATCCTTAGTCATTGTTTAACTTGTTGATGCATAGCAACTAACTGAGAAGACCATCACCTGGATCAGACACACCTTGGTCTCTAGACTGATACCATTGTTTCTCAGCACAATGGTGAGGTCCCTGACAACAGAGTTTCCCAGTGCAATTCGTCTTTTGATTTCCTGACTGCTGGTACCAAGAGGCTTGTGGAGCAGGACAAGTTGTAATTGTTAACAACCTCAATCTCTTCTCCATCTATTATGGTGCTGTCCATAGGTCCAGTGATGAGAATTAACTGCATTAGTCAATTATAATTAACGTGAATTAATGACTGGATGTAATACCACTATGACTTGTAAACTTTCACTCAGATTTTAAAAAGAAGGAAACTATAATGCATTCACATAGTATTGTGCAAGACTAGGCAAAATACTGCACAATATGGATAAATCTAGAGGAAACTGTTCTGAGTGACCTAAGTCATAAAAGGCCTATTACTGTATGAGACTCCTATTATTAAAAAGTAATTGACATTTCCCATAGAGATGGAATCATTCTTGGATGGTTATTTAGAGAGGCAAATAAAAGGAGAGAGTGAAAAATTAATAAATTGATAAGTTTGGTAAAGGAAAGGTAATATAAAATAAAGAGTTGACCAGACATTATAATTAACTAATTATATTAATAAATTCTGATTAATGTTATAAAACAAAATGTGTATGAATGAATGAAAAGCTGCTATAACTTGTAAATTGTTTACTCATATTTAAAAATTGAAGGGAGGAAGGACTCATTCTTAGATGATTACCAGGTGTGGTTGACTGTTTAAAATGGTTTTCCTAAGTTATTACCTTTGACTTTTGCTACATGGTTGGGCAGGAACATGCAAATAGGGTATACTGTCTGTCCATGAGAGGTGTGGCCAATTTTGCCATCCCAGTAGGTATAAATTAAGCAGATTCAGCAACAGAAATTGGGACTCTCATTACCAGCAAGGAAGGAGCAGCAGAGAATGCAGCTTGTGTCCTTCAGAGCTAGAGATTCCTGTCCAGTCAGCCCAGGATCTACAGGAGAACAATAACAGCCACAGTGCAGGACCAAAGACCAAAAGAGACAGAGCTGATGTGGGACTTCTGACCCAAGGAGCCAGAGCCAGGGCCAGAGCTCTCTGCCAAATTTGCTAGAAGGCTGGGAGGAAACATTGTAATTGAAGAACTAAAAAAACTTTTTAATACTGCAAACCAAATAGGAAAAGTATCTGCATGGTCAACCTGAAAACTTTGTAAATTTTCACTCAAATAACAAAACAAACAAAAAACCAAAACCAAAACCATGCTTGTGAAAGTATATATATATACACCAATTCTTTTAAATCTCAAAATAAAAAAAGATTAATGTTTGGACTTTACCTTCCTGGAATCTGGTCTTGTGGGGATATAAATATAATGCCCCAAACGGTTCTCAAATGGTACAGAAAGTGGTCTCCTTTCAGGTATCCTGATGTCTGGCCCATCTCCACAAGTTTCTTTCACTGAAGAAGTCATTGACAGGTTAAGTTTTGTTAGTTCTTCACTCAGCTGATCCACAAGAAGTTGTTGTTCTATTATTTTTTCATTCTTTATAGAAGAACAAAGTTTTTAAAATGGAGAGCTTCAGTATAAGTGTAGATTATAAAGAAAAATAAATTTTACATTAACCAACATTGAAACTACTTTAACAGAACAATAAGACATCATTTATCCAAAGACTAATCTGGTGTTTACAAGTATCTAGGCATGTTCTGAGAGATAAAAACTTTTGAATAGTAAGTGGCAATAGACAAAGAAAAAAAAGTTAAATACTAAGAGATATTCCTCCATATGCTCTGCTTGGACGGCCTGCTAACCTGGAGCTCTCTGATCAACTGATCTTTATAAAAGCCTGGGCTCTCTAACTGAAACCCAGGAAGTAACAAGAAACAAAGTGGAAAAGGAAAAATTGCAGACAGTAGAGATGGCAGCAAAGATGATAGAAGTAACAGGTGCAATGAAGGGAAAGCCCTTACTCAATAAAAAACAAAACTAAAAGTACAAAGAGATAGCAAACAGCCAAGTAGTGGTCCTGATAGGAAGAAAAACTTGGAAATTAAAGGCACAATAAATCGCTTATCTGAAGGCTTTGTGTATGAACATGTACGTATGTGTTTAGCTTTCTCTGTACCCACTAAAAGAAAAATGTAAAGCACAAACAATCTAGAAAGTTATAGCATCAGTCTTTATTTTAAAGGCACCAATATAATAGAAAGAAAGTGGACAGATAATGAACACTGCCCTGGAACAGATGAGGGGAAGAACCATCTGAAAGAAATATATGATTAAGCATTATATTTATGACAACAATCTGGAACAAGAGGTGCACTGCAAAGTGGACTAGAGGAAGGGGAAAGGAGAGGGAGGTAGGGAAATATACAACAATTAATAAGTGAAAAAATAAAAAGATAAATTCTTTTTCTAAAGCAGTGACTGTAAAAAAAATAAAAGCACCAAATTATGTAAACAAGAGATAGCCATTCATCTGTACATGGAGCATGTTATTGTTTAAGGGGAGAAGACCTAAAAATAACCCTATTATGTTACTGTATGTAGTCACATAATCAGGATATTTTGAGCATTTATCAATACCAATGGCAAATAAATGGAAAATGAAGACCTCATCTTAACTGGGAAAAAGACCAGTTAAATAAACCCAGAATGCCTGATGTAGGTTTACAATTTGGTGGGAGTAGGGAAATATTAAAAAAAAAAAACCAACAATTTCTGAGCTAACAGAAAGAAACACTGTAAAAGTAAATATTGCCCAGTTTGTCTGAAAGTAGGTAGGAAACACAAAATGGAATATAGAGCAGACAGGATAAATGTAAAACAATGACAGATTTAGTCAGAATACAACAGTAATTAATTCTTGCCATTTTTATGTGCCATTGAGTCACCTGCGACTCATAGTGACTCCATGTACAACAGCTCTGAACTGTGCTCTATCCTGAGCCAATCTTATTACCTCTGGCACACCTACCCCACTACCCCAGTCACTGAGTCTAACCATCTCATCCTCTCTTGCACACTGTTCCTCCATCCTACCAAGCATGATGTACCTCTCCAATGGCTGGTTCCTCCTTCCAACATGCCCAAAGTATGTAAAAAAAAGCTTCAGAACCCTTGCCTCTAAGGAATAGCCTGTTTTTACCCTCTGTATTCAATAAGCTTCTCCATCACCACAGCTCAAAGGCCTCAATTCTCCTTCTGCCATTCCTAGTCATTGTCCAGCTTTCTGATGCATAGCAGGTAAATTGCGAAGGTCATGGCCTGGATGAGGCACACCTTATTCTCCAGAATGACATCATTGCTCTTCAGTACTCTGGAGAGTTCCCTGAAAGCAGATTTTCCGACTGCAATTCGTCTTTTGATTTCCTGGCTGCTGGTAACAAGAGCATTGATTGTGTAGCCAAGCAAACAGAAGCTGTTGAAAATCTCAATCTGTTCATCTATCATGATACTGCCAATCAGCCCAGTGATAAGAATCTTTGTTTTCTTGATGTTGAGTTTCAATCCATATTGAAGGCTACTGTTCCTGACTTTCTGCATCAAGCATTTTAGGTCCTCCTCAGTTTCAGGAAGTAAGGCTGTATCATCTGCATAATTCAGGTTGTTGGTAAGTCTTCCTCCAATCCTGATGCCACATTCCTCCTCATAGAGCCCAGCCTACTGAGTGATCTATTCTGCATATTTATTGAAAAGGTATGGAGACAGGACACATCCCTGGCATACACACTTTCCTATTTTAACCAAACAGTGTTTCCTTGCTCTGCTCTGACTATCTCCTGGTCCAAGTATAGGTTTCACATTAGCACAATCAAGTGTTCTGAGATTCCCATCCTTCTCAGAGTTAGCCACAGTTTGTTGTGATCCACATAGTCACCTGATCCAGGTCATGGGCTTCACGATTATTTGCTATGCATCAGAGAGCAGCTGGACAGTGACACTAGGGATGACAGAAGAATCAATGCCTTTGAGCTGTGTTGCTGGAGGAGTATCGAACATACCATGGACTGCTAAGAGAACAAAACTGTCCTGGAGAGGGTGAAATCAGGTTGCTCCTTGGAGGCAAAGATTTTGAAGCTCCATCTTACATACTTTGGGCACTTGGCCAAGAGGGACCAGTCCTTGGAGAAGAACATCATGCTTGGAAGGGTCTGTTCTGTTCTAAAACAGAGTATTCGAAAACCCTATGTATAATTAAATTCAAAAGTGCACTAAATATTCTACATAAAAACTATTAGTTAGGATTTTAAAATACTCCAGTCATGTGCAGCTTTTTAAGAAACGCAGCTAAAATATATTATCTGGGTTTAGAAGAGGCCATGGTCCCAGTGATGTTAAAGCTAATATTTAGATGAATCTTAGCTGAAATCAGAAGATACCAGAGGAATGTCTGTGCTTCACTGACTGCAAAGGCATTTGACTATGTCTTCCCAAGCACCCTTTGAAATCTTCATTTTTTTTCTTAGTCATTTCATTTCTTCCCTTTGTTTTTGTCTTTGCATGTTCCATAGTATGTTTCAGAATCTCTTGTGACATCCATTTTGGTCCTTTTTTCCTCTTTGTAATGACCTTTTACTTTCATCATGAACAATAACCTTGGTATTATCTCATCTCACAACTTATCTGATCATTAGTGTTTAGTGCATTAACTATATTCTTGACATGGATTTTTAAACTCCTATAGGACACACTCAAAGTTGTATTTTGGTTCTTGTAGACTTGTTTTCATTTTCTTCAATTTCAACACAGATCCTGTGCCACTACAGAGGAGCCAGCTGTCCTGACTGTTGTGAATGAGGAAGCCAGCTGCCCTGACTGTGGGAGCCAAGCACGATGCAGGAATCAGATGTCACCTGTACTATGATATCTGTATGCTTACTTCTCTTTATGGAAAACTCTTAGGGTATGACACTTCTTGTCACTTTATTACATTAGGGGAGTTGTATAGTTTATCTTACAATATGACTTTCCTGGTCATAGTTTGATCCTGCCATAAAATGGGCAGGAATATGCAAATGGGGCACGTGAGCCTATCCATAAGGGGAATGGCTATCTACAAATGCACAAGGGAGATGGCTAGTTTTGCCTTTAAATTGAGCAATCTAGTAGCAAAAGAATTAGACCTCCCCTACCCCAGTGAAGATGAAGAAGAAGAAGAAGTAAGAAAATGGAGGATGCCCTTCAGAACAAGACATTCTTGTTCCAGCTACACCTATGGAAGCAGCAGCCATGGCCAAACCAGAGCCCTGACATGAGATGGGACCTTGACACTGCTACACTATTGGACTCATAGCTAAGAGCCTTTGCCCACATTTGCTGGACAATTAGGGCCAGGGTGCCATAATTTGAAGGACTGAGAACTTTATAACACTGGCCTAAAGACATGAAGCTCATGGCTGAGGTGCCTGTGAGCACATTTTAGAAGTTGTTCTAACTGTATTCTGCTACCAACCTGGATTATAACCTTTGACTTCCCCAATATGTTTCTGTGTGGTCTATGAGCTAGTGCATTGCATTTTGGACCCAATAAAGCAGTAACATTGGTGTTGAGATGAGTAGAAAGGATATGGGAGCATGAAGGACATGTCTGACTACATGGGAGTTGTGTTATTATTGATGCTGTTGATGGGGACAGTTCCCCTTTGTGAAGTTGGTAAAATTTAGACATTGTAGCCCCACTTGACCCTTGCTTTTTTTACAGAAGTTGCATGTTGCTACTCTTTTTTTTTTTTTAGCTTAAGGATAAATACATGTGCTTGTTGATTGTTTGCTCTTAGGAGTACAACGCTTGTCTGGAAGTTTGTTGTAAAGGGGTGACTTGTAGATTGTTGTGATACTGCAAGCTATGCTGCTGATATTTAAGATACCAGGAGGATCACTCCTGCTGGTGGGCAGTTTTCAGTGGAGCTTCCAGATTAAGAGAAACTAAGAAGCAGGATTGGCAAAAATCCTATGAATAATAGGGGGACATTTTTAAGACATAGCACTAGAAGTAGAGCTCTCAGGGGAGCTCTGGTAGCCTAGTGGCAAGAAGCTGCACTGCAATCCCAGAGGCGCACGGTTCAAATCCACCAGCTGCTCTGCCGGGGAAGGAGGAACAATCTCCTCCTGTACCAGTCAGATCCGATTTGACGGTACACACACACACAAAATAAAAAAAAAAGAAGAAGTAGAGCTCTCAGATTGAAAACAACAAAAAAAAGGCAGAGGAACAATTGCAAACATCCATCAATATTTGGAACGTGGGATGTACAAAGTATGAATCTAGGAAAACTGGAACTTGTAAAAATGAAATGCATAAAGATCAACATACTAGGCACTGGTAAGCTGAGATGGACTGGGATTGACTAATCTGAATCAGACAATCAGATGATCATTTATGCTGGAAATGAAAAATTGTTGCATTCATAGTAAAAGACCACTTCAAGATCCATCCTGAAGTACAATGCTGAGAGAGGATATTAATGGTATGCATACAAGAAGACCTATTAATACAACTATTATTCAAATATATGCACCCAAAACTAAAGCCAAAGATG